TCTCTCTCTGTGCCTGAGGCTCTCTCTCTCTGTGACTTAGGCCCGTCCCAATTCGCATACTTGCCCTTAAAAAGCACACTTGCCCTAGAGGTTTGCGTCCCCGCGGGAGTGGAAGGGTGTCCCAATACCAGGTCCAGAGCTCACTCACGAGTGTGATCCCATGATGCATTAGGATAGCTGTTGGTAAAGCAGCAGTCGGGCAAAGCCGCGCCACAATGAAATAAAACAACATAAAACACCCGCGCACAAGTTTGTGGTGAACATGAGGAAGCTCCGAGGCGTGTGCGAGTCTTTCAGAGTTTTTAAAGTGTGTGTTGGTGCCGTGTGCGGTGACGTTTGCTCCCGAAGCTTCAGAGACGTGGATCCATGTTATTATCATAGATCCATGTTATTATCATAGATCCATGTTATTATCATAGATCCATGTTATTATCATAGATCCATGTTATTATCATAGATCCATGTTATTATCATAGATCCATGTTATTATCATAGATCCATGTTATTATCATAGATCCATGTTATTATCATAGATCCATGTTATTATCATAGATCCATGTTATTATCCATCGCTTTGACAGTTTGCTTTGTGATCCGCGGGACTGCAGCTGTACCTGTCTGTCTCTGTGTGCGTATGTGTATGTACATGTGTGTCTGTGTGCGTATGTGTATGTACATGTGTGTCTGTGTGGTACGTGTATGTACATGTGTGTCTGTGTGGTATGTGTATGTACATGTGTGTCTGTGTGGTACGTGTATGTACATGTGTGTCTGTGTGCGTATGTGTATGTACATGTGTGTCTGTCTGTGTGCACGTATGTGTATGTACATGTGTGTCTGTCTGTGTGCGTATGTGTATGTACATGTGTGCACGTATGTGTATGTACATGTGTGTCTGTCTGTGTGCGTATGTGTATGTACATGTGTGTCTGTCTGTGTGCGTATGTACATGTGTGTCTGTCTGTGTGCACGTATGTGTATGTACATGTGTGTGTGTCTGTGTGCATGTATTTGTATGTACATGTGTGTCTGTGTGGTACGTCTCTGTGTGCGTATGTGTATGTGTCGGTCTCTGTGTGTTTACGTGCCTCTGTGTGTACATGTATGCGTGTGTGCGTCTGTCTCTGAGTGCGTGATGTGCATCAGTTCTGCACCACACAGACATGTACATACACATACGCACACAGACACACATGTACATACACATACGCACACAGAGACGTACCACACACACACATGTACATACACATACACACACAGAGACGTACCACACAGACACACATGTACATACACATACGCACACAGAGACGTACCACACAGACACACATGTACATACACATACGCACACAGAGACGTACCACACAGACACACATGTACATACACATACGCACAGAGAGACGTACCACACATGTACATACACATACGCACACAGAGACGTACCACACAGACACACATGTACATACACATACGCACACAGAGACGTACCACACACACACATGTACATACACATACGCACACAGAGACGTACCACACACACACATGTACATACACATACGCACACAGAGACGTACCACACAGACACACATACGTGCACACAGACACACATGTACATACACATACGTGCACACAGACAGACACACATGTACATACACATACGTGCACACACAGACACGCATGTAAATACACATACGTGCACACACAGACACACATGTACATACACATACGCACAGAGACACACATGTACATACGCACAGAGACGTACCACACAGACACACATACGTGCACACAGACACACATGTACATACGTGCACACAGACAGACACACATGTACATACACATACGTGCACACAGACAGACACACATGTACATACACATACGCACACAGACAGACACACATGTACATACACATACGTGCACACAGACAGACACACATGTACATACACATACGCACACAGACAGACACACATGTACATACACATACGCACACAGACAGACACACATGTACATACACATACGTGCACACAGACAGACACACATGTACATACACATACATGCACACAGACACACATGTACATACACATACGTGCACACAGACACACATGTACATACACATACGCACACAGAGACGTACCACACACACACATGTACATACACATACGCACACAGACACACATGTACATACGCACACAGAGACGTACCACACAGACACACATGTACATACACATACGCACACAGAGACGTACCACACACACACATGTACATACGCACACAGAGACGTACCACACACACACACGTACATACACATACGCACACAGAGACGTACCACACACACACGTACATACGCACACAGAGACGTACCACACAGACACACATGTACATACACATACGCACACATGTACATACACATACGCACACATGTACATACACATACGCACACAGAGACGTACCACACACACACATGTACACAGAGACGTACCACACAGACACACATGTACATACACATACGCACACAGAGACGTACCACACAGACACACATGTACATGAGTGTGTTCACAGTAAAGTGACAATTGAAGTATCTGGACTTTAAAAGGTTATAGGTTAAAAACTAAAATTACTTTCATAGATTGGAAAAAAGATTTCAAACACAGACACATTGAAGAGATAGTGTGGAAAAAATCAAAAGGAAAGATTGACATTAAAATGTTTAGCAACATTTTAAACGACCAAACTAGCCTCTGATTGGACCATTCTACTGTGACGCCGGTTACATAGGAAATAAAATGTCCTCAGTCTGAAAAAGCAGAAGATTAAATCCCACAAGATTTACATGGTTAACACAACAGGAGGAAATCACTTGATATAAAAAGGAATCGTAGAAAAATAAAAAATAATTAATTAATTAAATGACCCCTGAAAAATGTATAACGGACGTGATAAGGACGGTCCCTTTTTCTCTAAAAAAAAATCTGGTCTGTTTTCACATTTAATTGGTTGACAAAATGAAAGTATCACTTTGCATCTACTTTGTGTAAAAAAAGTAGAATCTCTGAATCAAATGTGGACATCTGAAAATACCATCAAACTTCCACAAAGCTCATCACGTCCGTTAGATAAAATAAACAGGGCGCTGCAGGAAACTTGTCTAATGTATAAAACAGTTTTGTTCTAGCAACTTCTAAAGGACAGAGGAGGTGTTTGGAAACATGAAAAACATAACATATCTTCTGATTATTAAAATCTAATTTTTGGCCTTTTGTCACACTTTTGTGCCCTTTAGTGTGAACAAGCCCATATACACATACGCACACAGACACATGTACATACACGTACCACACAGACACACATGTACATACACGTACCACACAGACACACATGTACATACACATACGCACACAGACACACATGTACATACACATACGCACACAGACACACATGTACATACACATACGCACACAGACACACATGTACATACACATACGCACACAGACACACATGTACATACACATACGCACACAGACAGACATGTACATACACATACGCACACAGACACACATGTACATACACATACGCACACAGACACACATGTACATACACATACGCACACAGACACACATGTACATACACATACGCACACAGAGACGTACCACACAGACACACATGTACATACACATACGCACACAGAGACAGACAGGTACAGCTGCAGTCCCGCGGATCACAAAGCAAACTGTCAAAGCGATGAACTACATCATGGATCTATGATAATAACATGGATCTATGATAATAACATGGATCTATGATGATAACATGGATCTATGATGATAACATGGATCTATGATAATAACATGGATCTATAATAACAACATGGATCTATGATAATAACATGGATCTATGATAATAACATGGATCTATGATAATAACATGGATCTATAATAATAACATGGATCTATGATAATAACATGGATCTATGATAATAACATGGATCTATGATAATAACATGGATCTATGATAATAACATGGATCTATGATAATAACATGGATCTATGATAATAACATGGATCTATGATAATAACATGGATCTATGATAATAACATGGATCTATGATAATAACATGGATCTATGATGATAACATGGATCTATGATGATAACATGGATCTATGATAATAACATGGATCTATGATAATAACATGGATCTATGATAATAACATGGATCTATGATAATAACATGGATCTATGATAATAACATGGATCTATGATAATAACATGGATCTATGATAATAACATGGATCTATGATGATAACATGGATCTATGATAATAACATGGATCTATGATAACAACATGGATCTATGATAATAACATGGATCTATGATAACAACATGGATCTATGATAATAACATGGATCTATGATAATAACATGGATCTATGATAATAACATGGATCCACGTCTCTGAAGCTTCGGGAGCAAACGTCACCGCACACGGCACCAACACACGCTTTAAAAACTCTGAAAGACTCGCACACGCCTCGGAGCTTCCTCATGTTCACCACAAACTTGTGCGCGGGTGTTTCATGTTGTTTTATTTCATTGTGGCGCGGCTTTGCCCGACTGCTGCTTTACCAACAGCTATCCTAATGCATCATGGGATCACACTCGTGAGTGAGCTCTGGACCTGGTATTGGGACACCCTTCCACTCCCGCGGGCACGCAAACCTCTAGGGCAAGTGTGCTTTTTAAGGGCAAGGGTGAGAATTGGGACGGGGCCTTAGAGCCTCAGTCCCAGAGAGAGCCTCAGTCCCAGAGAGAGCCTCTCTGAGTAACATGTTTATAACCACACTTATATTTAAGAAGCCGTTGTGGTGTTAAGTGTTAGTTTGTTTCTGGATCTGAGGAGATAAAAGTTAAATGATAATAAAGTTTATTAGTTTGTTTCCATGGATATAGACGTTTACAGACGTTTACAGACGTTTACAGAGGTGGATTATGACAGTTCTTCTGCTGCAGATCTCACTCATGAGTTTCTACAAATCCTGGAACGGACTCCGAGTAAACTGAAGAGGATCCGGAACTGGAGGGTGAGTCAGAGAGAGTTAAAACACACCTCTCCACTGTTTAAAGAGTCAGTGTCTCTCCAGAACAGTCTTCCTGTTGATGAGAGACAGGAAATGAATGATCCTGAAGCATATAACCACAGTTTATTATTTTATTGTGAAAGACGCTCTGTGTGTCACTGACAACATGAGTAAAGTTACATCATAAACATTCTTCAATGGGAATCTTTTGCCATTGGTCTTATTTGAACTGTCTTTAAAGTGTTTAAATGAGCTTTGAGCCTGAGTCCCTGTGCTCTGTACCTGTGCTGCAGGCGTTCCAGAACTCTAAGAAGCCAAAGTCTGATGGAGCGGACAGTGCCTTCCAGGGAGCGTCTCTCGACGGTCTCTCCAGCTCCTTCTTCCCGTCCACGTCTGACGCCGACCTGTCGTCTCTGGGTGCGGGGTCGTTCGCCGCCTTCCACAACATGGACGCCGCCGCCAAAGCCTGTGGATACGAGTTCCCGCCGACGCTGCCCTCAGACTTCACTCTGATCAAAGAGAAACCGTCAAAGCAGAACGGCGCCACGTTCTCACGACCGCAGAAGGTTCTGACGCTGGAGAAATACAGAGAAAAACATGCTCCAGATTTAACTTTACAAAACGGCTTCAAGACAGAGACTGAGCTGTACCCGGCCTTATCCCCCATCGCTCACCACCACAAGAGCAAGAGGTCACAGGCTCACAGCAGCCAATCAGAGAGCAGGAGGGACAAGGCCAGCTCCAAGAAACCCAAAACCCAGAACTGCGTCGAGAACGGCTCCAACGAGGAGCTCAAAATGCGGATTAAAGTTTCCTCCGAGTCGAAGGAGAAGCACAAAGACCATCACCGCCACTCTAAACACTCGCACCAGTACACGGTCAACGGCAGAGCGACCACGGACACGTTACTGCGGCCAGCAGGGGGCGATGTGAGCACGGTGTCGTCCAGGAAGAGGCCTCACGGAGACAGCCACAACAGCCATCACCACGCCAAGGGCGGCCGCGGCGCCAAGAACGCTCTCAACGCACACTTTTCAGACGTGACGCACGACGGAACCAACGGACTCCCGGCGCCCAACGGACACACGGATTACAAAAACACGTTCGACATGTTGGACTCGCTACTCAACGCCCAAGCGATGAACTTGTAACTCAGTGTTTGACATTTTAAGGTATTATCATTGATTTAAAGAATTAAACAGATTTATTTGTCTTAAGTTATCTTGAACTTTGCGTCAGATTTTAATTTCTAAAAAGGTGATTGTGGTAAAGTCTGTAAAACTATCAACATCAAACAGAAAGAAGTGTTTGATCTGCGGCGCATGAAAGGGAAAGTTTATGTTTTTGTACGTCGAGAAGCATCACTACAAATCTCAGGTCTTGAAAAACTCTTTTGGTAATTAAGAAGAATCTCCTTTGGGTCAGTTTTACCGGCATCACGCGGCCACACAGCCACGGTCGGAAATTCCAGGGCTGCAGTGCATTGGAATCTGAGCAGGACAGAACAGTGGTGTATCTTGTACATTAGTGCGTGTTCCATTTCTCTGCGGCCGAATAAAGGTGTTCACCCACTCTGCAGAAAACACTCCTGGACTCTGTGTTTTACTTTCACTTTGTTTTTATAAAGTTATTATTTGCTTTGGCACATGAAGGACGGACCCTGAACCAGAAGCTTAAACACAGGTTCAAGGCCAAAAAGGTTTGAATTTATAATTACAGTGCCTTGCGAAAGTATTCGGCCCCCTTGAACCTTTCAACATTTCGCCACATTATAGGCTTCAAACATAAAGATATAAAAATTTAATTTTTTGTCAAGAATCAACAACAAGTGGGACACAATCGTGAAGTGGAACAACATTTATTGGATAATTTAAACTTTTTTAACAAATAAAAACTGAAAAGTGGGGCGTGCAATATTATTCGGCCCCTTGCGCTAATACTTTGTAGCGCCACCTTTTGCTGCAATTACAGCTGCAAGTCGCTTGGGGTATGTCTCTATCAGTTTTGCACATCGAGAGACTGGAATTCTTTCCCATTCTTCCTTGCAAAACAGCTGGAGCTCAGTGAGGTTGGATGGAGAGCGTTTGTGAACAGCAGTCTTCAGCTCTTTCCACAGATTCTGGATTGGATTCAGGTCTGGACTTTGACTTGGCCATTCTAACACCTGGATACGTCTATTTGTGAACCATTCCATTGTAGATTTGGCTTTATGTTTTGGATCATTGTCCTGTTGGAAGATAAATCTCCGTCCCAGTCTCAGGTCTTTTGCAGACTCCAACAGGTTTTCTTCCAGAATGGTCCTGTATTTGGCTCCATCCATCTTCCCATCAATTTTAGCCATCTTCCCTGTCCCTGCTGAAGAAAAGCAGGCCCAAAGCATGATGCTGCCACCACCATGTTTGACAGTGGGGATGGTGTGTTCAGGGTGATGAGCTGTGTTGCTTTTACGCCAAACATATCGTTTTGCATTGTGCCCAAAAAGTTTGATTTTGGTTTCATCTGACCAGAGCACCTTCTTCCACATGTTTGGTGTGTCTCCCAGGTGGCTTGTGGCAAACTTTAAACCAGACTTTTTATGGATATCTTTGAGAAATGGCTTTCTTCTTGCCACTCTTCCATAAAGACCAGATTTGTGCAGTGCACGACTGATTGTTGTCCTATGGACAGACTCTCCCACCTCAGCTGTAGTTATCTGCAGTTCATCCAGAGTGATCATGGGCCTCTTGGCTGCATCTCTGATCAGTCTTCTCCTTGTTTGAGATGAAAGTTTGGAGGGACGGCCGGGTCTTGGTAGATTTGCAGTGGTCTGATACTCCTTCCATTTCAATATAATTGCTTGCACAGTGCTCCTTGAGATGTTTAAAGCTTGGGAAATCTTTTTGTATCCAAATCCGGCTTTAAACTTCTCCACAACAGTATCTCGGACCTGCCTGGTGTGTTCCTTTGTCTTCATGGTTCTCTCTGTGCTTTAAACAGAACCCTGAGACTATCAAAGAGCAGGTGCATTTATACGGAGACTTGATTACACACAGGTGCATTCTATTTATCATCATCAGTCATTTAGGACAACATTGGATCATTCAAAGATCCTCACTGAACTTCTGGACTGAGTTTGCTGCACTGAAAGTAAAGGGGCCAAATAATATTGCACGCCCCACTTTTCAGTTTTTTATTTGTTAAAAAAGTTTAAATTATCCAATAAATTTTGTTCCACTTCACGATTATGTCCCACTTGTTGTTGACTCATGACAAAATGTTATATCTTTATGTTTGAAGACTGAAATGTGGCGAAATGTTGAAAGGTTCAAGGGGGCCGAACCCATAACTCATAGTTTTGCGTTTTGTATGAACAAACAATGCGGCCATGAAACATATTTTGCTGTAGCCAAACAAATTGTCCACTTGATTTATATGATATATATGTTCATCTGATTGGTCTGAAGTCAGTGCTTCACCGGTGTTTCCACATTCACAGTGGCAGGTGTTTAGTGCTTACAGCACAGAGAGAGATGAAGAGTGAACAGGACTTCAGCGGCAAAACAGACTTTTCTAGATGGAAATATTGGCACTATTTCAGACTCACTGAGGTTAAAGGTAAAAATGCGCACGTCGAGTGCACATTATGTTCCAGAACAGAACGAAAAAGTAACGCAATAGTTACTTTTACTGGTAACTAGTTACTTTTATAGTGGAGTAACTTCGTTAGTAACTCAGTTACTTTTTGGGAGAAGTAACTAGTAACTATAACTAATTACTTTTTCAAAGTAACGTGCCCAACACTGGTGAACGGCGGTATATAACTAAAGATTACTTACTTACAACAGTTCGGGTTGTTTATTTTGTGTTCAGCGAGTGATCTTGTGCTACTTTATACTGTTTAGTTTTGTTTGGTTCGCTGCCGCTCCTATTCAAAACTCCGTTGAGACACGGTTACTATTTCTCCCCGTTTACATGCGTCCGCGGCGCACCAAGCATCGCGTCTAGCATTTAGATTTGAGCTATTTTTAGTTCTGAATCTGATTAATTGTAGAACCTTGCCGACTGCAGTAACGCTGCCCCAGGTTTCCATTTTTGGTAAATTTTTTATATAATGATAATTTTAACGTAGCTACGTGTTTATTTTTGATTGTTGCGCAACTCGACTATTGACTCTGCTTGAGCATTTAATTATTATTATTTTTCATCTCTACTCAAGTAAATTATATCAGAGTGTCATGAATTACTTGAGCATATGTTTAATGAATCAAATTGAAATTAAAGTGTATATATATATGTATATATGCAATACATGTAAAGAATATAATATCCTTTTCGCATACCTCACCTATACATAGTTCCTACATGACGTCACTACATACGGGGATTTGCCGACCCGGCGCCATTTGTGTTGGCATGCTGTGGGCAAAACAATACGAAAAAGAAGCTGAAACGTGTTAATGTCGTGATAAAGTTGAAAATGGTCATCTCCTGTGGGTCAATGGATGTTCAAATCGTGCCGGAGGTTCTGTTAAACTTGGATTTTACAGTATACCCATCATTAGACTTCATGAATGTGAGAAGACTAAGCTTTTGTCAGAACAACCACGGAGGTTATGGCTTGCGAAGATAAACAGGCAAGAAACTCCTCAAAACACGCAAGAATATGCTCGGAGCACTTTGTGTCAGGTGCGTATCGTATCTTATAATGTGTTGACAGACGTAATTTATCAGTACTAACTTGTGTATGCTGATATCTGGTAACTTGAGAGTTTCATTATTTAGCGTTAGATTACTTTATTATGAGGAGGATCGTCGCGTCCGAGGCTCTCGAGGGCAACGTAAATGTATTAAATAGATAATAATAGTTCTATGGTGGGCTAAAACAATGTTCACAAACAGCATTGCTTCTGTAAAAAGATCTGTGTCATAAAATAAACTGCTCTTTACGCCTGGAAAAATCAGTTGCCCACCATTCACCAAAAACATACGGTCAAAAACGCGGAAATAAACAATAACAGCAATCCAGAGTGTCCGTGTGGCATTAGCATTAATTAAATTAATTGTTAATATAATTAAAATAATTAAATGGAGCTCCAACTGGTATTAAATCTAAAGTTTTTGAGAAATGTTTGCATTGCTTGTAAATTTTTGCTGCATAATTTGATCAAATATGTGAAAACATGTCCGTAGCACGTTAAACTGTGGTGCCATTGTATTAATATACAATTATTTGCTCAAAAGTTGCCCTTTTTTTCCAATTTGCGTTTGAATATCTACATTTATTCTCATTCTTCTGTTTAATGGAATGCACAAACACACAGCAGCGTGCCATCAAAGATGGCGTCTCCGAGGAGGTCATGTGACATTCATTGGTCTGTGGGAACTATGTATATTTATAGAACCTGTGAATTCAATCAATATATATACTATACGCAATTTATTTTGTCTTTTGTTTTATTCACACACCCTGGCTCCTTGGCCGAATCTACTTCTGGTCAAACTAATTGTTCACCCCGCTACTAGCCTAGCGTTACACAACACTTTCTCAGGTGAAATGTTTTCAGCTTGTGTGGACAGATAGATTGAGCCAGTTCCATCTGTACCTAATACGATTTAAATATCTATGAGTTGCTGCTTCTCGTGAGGCAACTCTTCTGATCTGTTGTGTTTCACTGCCTTTTGGGCTTCATACATCATGGGAAGCCCAAGCTATAGTGTCAGCAGCCAGATGTTATTCTGAAAAAAGCACTGGGGGTTCTTGATACTGTGAGACCTGGCTTCCTGTTTGCCCCATCACTCCCTGGGCTTGATTCATCCCTCTCCGTTGACTGCAAGATAAGACGAACCCGAGTCCCACGGCTCTAAATTGAACTGCACACAGTAGTGGACCCGGTCGCGGTGGATCATGTACAGATTCAGTGTGAGCCTGGCGTTAGTGTAAGGGAGAGAAGCGCTCTGTGTGCCTTTTCAAACACACACTCCAATTGTCTATTATCTAGAACGGTTGTTCTGTAAGTTACTTTGTATTGACTTCATTGTGCGGTTCAAAAAATAATTAGTTTGTACTAACTACATTAGTTGACAACTGTTTTCAAAAAGTGATTGATCAAGTGATAAATCAATTAACATGTTAATTAATTCATTAAAGGCGCTATACCTCGTTTCTACAATGTTTGAATGTTTAGCACCGCCCCCCAACTCGCTCACAGGCTTCTCATTTCCCCTACGCTCTCATAACACGGAGCCACCTAGTTTTTATTTGCGATCTGATACTATGCTAACATTAGCATTAGCGCAACTTGTAAGCTGTACAACAATCACTGATGAAATGGCACTAAAGCAACGCACTGCTAAATCAATATATAAGTAAAAGAATACCATTAGTTTCGCGTCCGGATGTATTAATTTAAACATTAGAAATATATTCTAATATTTAATTATAATTTATTATACAGTCCTCACAGCAGCAGCACTCCATTGACTTGAATGCAATTCTTCCGATCATTTTTTCTTGATAACAGAACTCTCAAACCAATAATGACCGCAGCCCCAATGCAATTTCTGTTTGTAATTCAGGTGTGTAAAATACTGCCATTACTTTGCAAGTACAACAAGCTATCAGCGCCTGTCACTACATTGTGCAGTTTTTCTGCACACTTGTCTGTGTAGAGAAGCTAGCGGAGCTAGCCACGCTCAATAAACAAATACATATCAATCAATCAACACCATTAACCGTCAATCGGACAATACGAGTATACATATACATCCTTAACACACATGCACGGACGATTTCAGAATTTGCTGTCAACGTTTTCATGACAAAAATACTGTTTTAAAGTGACAAAAAGCGATCGCGAAAAACCCGGAAGTTACCATGAAACAGCTAGCTAGCCTTAGCTGTTACCTGCCTAGCACGTCCGGTGGTGAAACCTTTGGGAGCTAACTATTTTATTTGCAGTCATTAAAAGTACATTTCTAATTATAAGGGTTCTTGTCTAATATTTGTTCAAATATGTGTGTTTCACTGATCATTTCACTGAGTTGCTTTCAGTTGTGTGCACAGATTTTGATGGTTTAGTCATTATAGGCGATTTTATTATTCATGTGGATAATGTTAATGACAGATACGCAAAAGAGCTGAGTTCCATAGCTTGAATCCTTTGGCCTCACTCAGCATGTGAGTGGCCCCACCCATAGCAGAGGACACACCTTGGACCTGCTTATCACGAAAGGGGTGAATATTTCAAAAGTTAATGTAGTTGATGTTGCTCTGTCGGATCATTTCTGTGTATTTTTTAACATGTGTTTTGCTACCAGACCACCCGCTAAATATGAAATTGTTAGAAGTAGACACTTAAATGAAAACACGGGTGAACTATTTATGGGAATGATCCATTTTGAGAACACATCATGTTCTACTGTAGATGAACTGTTTAACTCTGTCACCTCTAGTGTGTTGAATGTTCTGGACGCCATTGCCCCTGTGAAGGTAAAAATGGTCACAAATAAGCAAAAAGCCCCATGGATAAAAGCAGGCCCGGTCAGGGCACAGAAGCAAGAGTGCCGGAGAGCAGAGAGAAAGTGGAGAAAGTCCAACCTCCAGGGTGATTATAAACTCTTAAAAGAGAAGTTGTGTGAGTTTAACAGAGTACTACGTAGAACAAGAGAATTATACTTTTCTGAAACTATTGAAGGCTGCAGCAACAATCTGCGTGTTCTATTTTCAACAATCAATAGATTAACGAACCCCCCTGTTGAGTTGCCATTAGAACACTACTCCAAATCCAGGTGTAATGAGTTTGCACAGTTCTTCAGAGACAAGGTTCAGGGTATCAGAAATGCCATCACCTCTACAACACAAGTAACAATGCAACATCCAGTGAGGCTTTGTGAGCTAGCTCAATTTGCACCTGTCAATGATGAAACTGTTAAAAAGATAATCACAGGTCTTAGTTCCTCTACCTGCAGTCTGGATGTACTACCTCCTAGATTTCTGAAGTCTGTTATGTGTAGTCTATTACCCTCATTGACACAAATAGTAAACATGTCTTTTTTATCTGGAACATTTCCAATGGCCCTGAAAAAGGCAGTCATTAGGCCCCTCCTAAAAAAGAGCAGTTTGGATGCTGCGGTACTTGAAAATTACCGTCCCATCTCAAATCTGCCTTTCATGGGAAAAATTCTTGAAAAAGTTGCCTACCAACAACTTACTGAATTTTTAATATCTAATGACTCATTTGACATGTTTCAGTCTGGCTTTAGACCACACCACAGTACTGAGACCGCTCTAGTCAAGGTAACAAATGATATTCGGCTTAACACTGATGCAGGAAAAGTCTCTGTTTTAGTCATGTTAGATCTGAGTGCCGCTTTCGACACCGTTGACCATGAGATTCTCATGCAGAGACTGGAGGACTGGGTTGGTGTTGCTGGTACCGCCCTAAGCTGGTTTAGGTCCTATCTAGAAGAAAGGAAGTACTGTGTGGAGATTGGAAACTATGTCTCAGATAATATGGCCCTGACCTGCGGAGTGCCACAGGGGTCGATTCTGGGACCTCTCCTGTTCAATATTTACATGCTGCCATTAGGTCAGTTAATTCAAAGTATGAAAGTGTCCTACCACAATTACGCTGATGACACTCAGATCTATGTCTCACTGACTGCAGGAGAGCATGGGCCGGTGGACTCACTCCTTCGCTGTATCCAGCGGATCAGTGAGTGGATGCAATGCAATTTTCTCCAGCTAAATGCGGACAAAACCGAAATGATTGTCTTTGGTCCCGAGAAACAAAGAGAGACCGTCATTTGTCACCTTCAGTCTCTCTCCCTAAGGCCCTTAAATAAGGTCAGAAATCTGGGAGTAATAATGGACTCTGACTTAAACTTCAATAGCCACATTGGATCGGTAACATCAGCAGCTTTTTATCATCTGAAAAATATTGCCAAAATTAAAAATATTGTGTCCAGGGCAGACTTGGAGATTCTTATCCATTCTTTTGTTTCCAGTAGGCTGGATTACTGCAATGGCCTGCTCACAGGTATCTCCAAACATGCAGTAAGACAGTTGCAGTATATTCAAAATGCTGCAGCCCGAGTCCTGACTAGAACCAGGAAGTACGACCACATTAGTCCGGTCCTCAGGTCTCTGCACTGGCTTCCCGTGGCCCAGAGGATAGACTTTAAAGCAGCTCTCCTGGTGTACAAGTCTCTCCATGGCCTTGCACCAAAGTACATCCATGATATGCTAGTCCCATATGAACCAGCCCGGACTCTGAGGAGCGCAGGGACGGGACTCCTGTTAGTGCCCAGAGTCAGGACTAGACAGGGGGAGGCTGCTTTTCAGATTTATGCAGCTGGAGTCTGGAACAGTCTTCCTGAGGATGTGAGACTGGCTGCCTCTCTGTCAATGTTCAAATCCATGTTAAAGACTTTTCTTTTTTCCCGTGCATACAACTAGAGAATTTTATCTTTTTAACACACCTTGTTATTTATTGTTGTAACTTTTTGTGTTTTTAACTATTTTATTGTTTTTAATTACTTGTGTGATTTTTATGTTTTTAAATTACTTATGTGATTTTAATGCTTTTTAATTACATATGTGTTTTTAATTGTATTTTAATGGTGATGATTTGTGCATTGTGTGGTGTGGACTGTGAGGCGCTTTGTGTTGCCCTGTGCAGGAAAAGCGCCCTATAAATAAAGATTGATTGATTGATACTTACTTACTTACTTACTTACTTACTTACTTACTTACTTACTTACTTACTTACTTACTTACTTACTTACTTACTTACTTACTTACTTACTTACTTGCAGTAATAGTGCTATACTAATAAACTTGCCTGACCTCACCTCAGACCATATCACAGACTGTGCTTCTGTTCTGACAGAGTGTGTACCTGTGTGTTGCAGCGGTCTCCATCATGAGGCACAGTGTGTAACTGTGTGTAACGTTGTGTACCTGTGTGTAACGTTGTGTACCTGTGTGTTGCAGCGGTCTCCATCATGAGGCACAGTGCGTCTGCGTTTGGATTCGCGGTGAGTACCTTTCTCTCAGATTGTGCGTCAGATAAAAGTGTGTTTTGACAGAGTTGTGTTGTTCTCAGTTTGACGCCATCTTGGACGTCCTCTCCTCCGTCATCGTCCTGTGGCGCTACAGCAACGCCGCCGCCGTGCACTCCGCTCACCGGGAATACATGTGAGTCTGCACTCGGAGAGCACATACACCCGCCGAGAGCACTCGGAGAGCACATACACCCGCCGAGAGCACTCGGAGAGCACATACACCCGCCGAGAGCACTCGGAGAGCACATACACCCGCCGAGAGCACTCGGAGAGCACATACACCCGCCGAGAGCACTCGGAGAGCACATACACCCGCCGAGAGCACTCGGAGAGCACATACACCCGCCGAGAGCACTCGGAGAGCACATACACCCGCCGAGAGCACTCGGAGAGCACATACACCCGCCGAGAGCACTCGGAGAGCACATACACCCGCCGAGAGCACTCGGAGAGCACATACACCCGCCGAGAGCACTCGGAGAGCACATACACCCGCCGAGAGCACTCGGAGAGCACATACACCCGCCGAGACCACTCGGAGAGCACATACACCCGCCGAGACCACTCGGAGAGCACATACCCCGCCGAAACCATAGGTTATTCTGTCACCTACGAGAGAGAGAGAGACACAAGTGCAAAAACAGTGGAATCCTACACACACTAAAAACATAGAATTATAAAACAGTAGAATGCGTGTAAGACGTCCAGAGACCTGAGGACATGGACCTGAGGACACAGACCAGAGGACACAGACCTGAGGACACAGACCAGAGGACACAGACCTGAGGACACAGACCTGAGGACACAGACCAGAGGACACAGACCAGAGGACACAGACCAGAGGACACAGACCAGAGGACACAGACCAGAGGACACACACAGAGGACACAGACCAGAGGACACAGACCAGAGGACACAGACCAGAGGACACAGACCAGAGGACACAGACCAGAGGACACAGACAGAGGACACAGACAGAGGACACAGACCAGAGGACACAGACCAGAGGACACAGACCAGAGGACACAGACCAGAGGACACAGACAGAGGACACAGACCAGAGGACACAGACCAGAGGACACAGACAGAGGACACAGACAGAGGACACAGACCAGAGGACACACACAGAGGACACAGACCAGAGGACACAGACAGAGGACACAGACCAGAGGACACACACAGAGGACACAGACAGAGGACACAGACCAGAGGACACAGACCAGAGGACACAGACAGAGGACACAGACAGAGGACACAGACCAGAGGACACACACAGAGGACACAGACCAGAGGACACAGACCAGAGGACACAGACCAGAGGACACAGACCAGAGGACACGGACCAGAGGACACAGACCAGAGGACACAGACCAGAGGACACAGACCAGAGGACACAGACCAGAGGACACAGACCAGAGGACACACACAGAGGACACACACAGAGGACACAGACCAGAGGACACAGACCAGAGGACACAGACCAGAGGACACACACAGAGGACACACACAGAGGACACAGACCAGAGGACACAGACAGAGGACACACACAGAGGACACAGACCAGAGGACACAGACCAGAGGACACAGACAGAGGACACAGACCAGAGGACACAGACAGAGGACACACACAGAGGACACAGACCAGAGGACACAGACCAGAGGGCACAGACCAGAGGACACAGACCAGAGGACACAGACCAGAGGACACAGACCAGAGGACACAGACAGAGGACACAGACCAGAGGACACAGACCAGAGGACACAGACCAGAGGACACAGACCAGAGGACACAGACCAGAGGACACAGACCAGAGGACACAGACCAGAGGACACAGACCAGAGGGCACAGACAGAGGACACAGACCAGAGGACACAGACAGAGGACACACACAGAGGACACAGACCAGAGGGCACAGACCAGAGGACACAGACCAGAGGGCACAGACCAGAGGACACAGACCAGAGGGCACAGACCAGAGGACACAGACCAGAGGGCACAGACCAGAGGGCACAGACCAGAGGGCACAGACCAGAGGACACAGACCAGAGGAGGGAGAAATGTCTTAACTTAGAAATATGCAGTTGTCTTCTGCGTTTGTTTGAATGTTGTTTGAAGGATAAAAACAGTTGTGGGCATTTCCAAGGCCTGTGTCGTTCAGAAAACATTAAAATATGTTTGGTCAATAAGTGGGAGGAGCCACGTGAGTTTGGAGGAAGAGTCTATTTTCTAAGCGCCCATTTCTATAGAAAACTATAGGTTTGCCGAGGATTAGTCATTTATGTAGAGGTTTAAGGCAGATAAAACCCTTTGAGTAAAGTGCTACATAGTTTTCTTACTTTTCTATGTTTAAGTATTTGTCTTGTGCTGAAAACTCAGTCCAGTCGACTACATTTAAAACTATTGTTGTGGAAATTCTGCACATAACGAGAGTAAAATATTGTAAACAACTCAGAGCTGTAATTCCAAACAAAGTGTGAGTTTAGTCATTAGTAAATGTGCACAATTACAATGAATAAACTCACACTTTGTTTGGAAACAAAAAAACGTTTATCAAAAACGCTTTAGAGAAATGAAATTATAGCTCAATTTGGGCCACACAAAACTCATATCTCCAAGTAGTTTATATCTATGTCGTTGGTTTTTATGCTATTGCTGGTTACCATAGCAACACACTGTTTACAAGCAGCAGTTAGCGTTAGCATTTAGCCTTTAGCATTGGAAGTCTGTAAGCATTGTTTGTTAAATCAAAATAAAGTCAAAAATAACAAATAAATGGCGGCAACGACCCACAAACAGCCTTTAGCATTAGCTTAGCATGTTTAATCTATTACATTTAGTTTTTGAGCAGAACAGACCAAGACCCTTCGGACGAGGCCGCTCCATGTTTAGAAATAAAAATCTCACTGAAGGATCATTTATTTAACACTGGACTATATTTAGCTGCTGACGGTGTTACTATGCATTTTTTTATTTAAATTATACATAACACACAGAACATGGAAGCGACACGTGACGCTCTAATCCTGTCTTTAGGACCTGCATTTTACTTCATGCTTCACAAACACGTATCAACTTAAAACACGTCTGTAAATCTAAAAACACAAATAAGTTTCACCTTCAACAGTTTCTCTCATGTTCTGTTTTGTTAAAGGCACTGGATGTGATATTATTGATTTAAAACACATCTACAGCTCCCTGATAACGGCACAGGCACAAATCTGAACTGACTTTTCTGACATTTTAACCTTTTGATAACTTCCTAAACCATCTTTCAAGGATCTTTATCGATCTTTGGGGCGTCTCACTTTGTTTTAGGCACTTTTAAATTCACCTGCATCTGAACCATTTGTTAAAGGCCTGTGGTAACTGGGGATTTAAACAATAAATTTGTTAAAATGATGTGGTTATTAGTGTCCTGTGAGACGACCCTTATTCGTCATTAGAAATACTAAAGACATGACTTTTATTCTATTTAGAGACAAAAACTGAACTATGTGAAAGAAAACACAGGTATTTTAAGCTTCTCTCACTTCTTTCAATCAACTTTTTTTTTAATTGTTAGAAAAAAGTCAGGTACCTCAGCTTTAAATCTCTAAAATTGTCGCTCATTAAAATGCGACACTGAAAAGAAATGTTTAAAACAAACAAACTTTGGGGTTTGGAACGTGTCCTTCACCGATAACTGTGAGACGTCAGAGGAGATTATGTCCTCCAGCAACCGGCCCAAAACACACACACACACAGACGCACACACACGGCTACTGAACGCACACACACGGTTACTGAACGCACACACACACACACGGCTACTGAACGCACACACACGGTTACTGAACGCACACACACACACACGGCTACTGAACGCACACACACGGTTACTGAACGCACACACACACACACACGGCTACTGAACGCACACACACACACACACACGTCTCATTAACGCACACACACACACACACACACACGTCTCATTAACACACACACATATTCACTGGGGATACAGCGCTGACAAGGGCGCTAACATTTAGGATAAAACATTTAATATTGGAGCTAGCTTAACGGAGCCCAAAGACACACACACACACACACACACACACACACAGACATACACTGACACACACACACCTGACTTCTGTGTTTGCCAGTCCCTGTGCTCCTCAGAGTCCCAGCAGGAGGCCAGTCCCTGTGCTCCTCAGAGTCCCAGCAGGAGGCCAGTCCCTGTGCTCCTCAGAGTCCCAGCAGGAGGCCAGTCCCTGTGCTCCTCAGAGTCCCAGCAGGAGGCCAGTCCCTGTGCTCCTCAGAGTCCCAGCAGGAGGCCAGTCCCTGTGCTCCTCAGAGTCCCAGCAGGAGGCCAGTCCCTGTGCTCCTCAGAGTCCCAGCAGGAGGCCAGTCCCTGTGCTCCTCAGAGTCCCAGCAGGAGGCCAGTCCCTGTGCTCCTCAGAGTCCCAGCAGGAGGCCAGTCCCTGTGCTCCTCAGAGTCCCAGCAGGAGGCCAGTCCCTGTGCTCCTCAGAGTCCCAGCAGGAGGCCAGTCCCTGTGCTCCTCAGAGTCCCAGCAGGAGGCCAGTCCCTGTGCTCCTCAGAGTCCCAGCAGGAGGCCAGTCCCTGTGCTCCTCAGAGTCCCAGCAGGAGGCCAGTCCCTGTGCTCCTCAGAGTCCCAGCAGGAGGCCAGTCCCTGTGCTCCTCAGAGTCCCAGCAGGAGGCCAGTCCCTGTGCTCCTCAGAGTCCCAGCAGGAGGCCAGTCCCTGTGCTCCTCAGAGTCCCAGCAGGAGGCCAGTCCCTGTGCTCCTCAGAGTCCCACAGGAGGCCAGTCCCTGTGCTCCTCAGAGTCCCAGCAGGAGGCCAGTCCCTGTGCTCCTCAGAGTCCCAGCAGGAGGCCAGTCCCTGTGCTCGTCTCCTCAGAGTCCCAGCAGGAGGCCAGTCCCTGTGCTCCTCAGAGTCCCAGCAGGAGGCCAGTCCCTGTGCTCCTCAGAGTCCCAGCAGGAGGCCAGTCCCTGTGCTCCTCAGAGTCCCAGCAGGAGGCCAGTCCCTGTGCTCCCCAGAGTCCCAGCAGGAGGCCAGTCCCTGTGCTCCTACTGTATTTAACATGTATGACAGGTGTTGAGGTTCTTTCCCATTCTTCTTTGCAAAAAGCCTCCAGTTCCTGTAAATTCCTGGGTTGCCTTGTATGAACTGCAGGTTTGAGATCTGCCCAGACTCTCATTCATAACATCTGACCAAAACAATAACAAAGATAACCTTGATATTATTACATGAATCGATTCAGTCCAAGTCTCCAGTTCACGTCGATACCACACCACTGCCCGTTGCCCTGGCAACACCCAATCTTTTTTATTTCACCTTCAGAACAACACACAGACGTGTCATTCTCTGTTATTACAAAAGCAACATCGATCGTCGGCGTGAGCTGTTTCTATGTCTGGCCTCGGTCAAGAAACTCCCAATGTGTGTGTGTGTGTGTGTGTGTGTGAGCAGCGTTGCTATGGATACGTGTGTGTAAAGTGCATGTAGCCGCATGTTTGTGTTGCTAGGTTTGGGATAAGTCTCTGAATGTGTAAATGTGTGTTTGGGGTTTGTGTTCCTCAGGACGAGTACTCTGAGAACACACACACACACAGAGAACACACACACACTGAGAGTACTCTGAGAACACACACACAGAGAACACACACACACTGAGAGGACTCTGAGAACACACACACTGAGAGGACTCGGAGAACACACACACTGAGAGGACTCGGAGAACACACACACTGAGAGGACTCTGAGAAGACACACACTGAGAGGACTCTGAGAACACACACACTGAGAGGACTCTGAGAAGACACACACTGAGAGGACTCTGAGAACACACACACTGAGAGTACTCGGAGAACACAAACTGAAAGGACTCTGAGAACACACACACTGAGAGGACTCTGAGAACACACACACTGAGAGGACTCTGAGAACACACACACTGAGAGGACTCTGAGAACACACACACTGAGAGGACTCTGAGAACACACACACTGAGAGGACTCTGAGAACACACACACTGAGAGGACTCTGAGAACACACACACTGAGAGGACTCTGAGAACACACACACTGAGAGGACTCTGAGAACACACACACTGAAAGGACTCTGGAGAACACACACACTGAGAGGACTCGGAGAACACA